GGATCCCCAGTGTATGCCGGCTGCAGCCGGGGCCTCCCTCCCTTCCCCCGGCCGGCCCCAACCCCTGGTCAAACTCCCAGACAACTTCTGGTCGAGGGGACAGTTTGCGTACTACGCTTTTATTATATAGGGTTATATCATTTGTAATATAGGAGATAAAATGAAACTGGTAAAACTTCTCAGTGAACTTTTCAGATTTGCCATCCATCTTATACTTACCCTTCGTTGCATATGTATGTGTGTATAATACATAGATATTAATAGTTATGCCGTATATACTCCATTCTAATGTAGGAAATTGACATTTTTCAATTTAATGACATGAATGAAAGTATGGAGACCCCAATAACTAGAGATAACCTTTGGGTCTGAAAGAGTTAAAACAGTGTCAAAAATGCTTAATTTATAACTTCATTGAAATATGAAAATATAACATCCATCCCAATGATACAACTTAACTAAAGTTGTCATGGGTGAAAGAAGAAAATATCAATAATTGAAACTGTAACAGGAATTTCTCGAAAACATAGAAAATGTGTTTTTTCCCTCATAACTGCTTTTCTATTTGTAGTTTTAGTTTCTTAATGATATAACAGTAGAATATTTATAATACAAATATTAGCTAAAAGTTGGGTAGTATATAATTTTTTGTATTTGTTAATTGCTTAAACTTCTGAATGCTATTACATGATAACAAACACAGACTTTGTGTTTACTGCTATCCTTTGGCCGCACCTGGTTCTTGCCCTTGCTTTTAGAAAGCAGCAGCAAGCCCTAACCGGTTTGGCTTAGTGGATACAGCATCAGCCTGCGGACTCAAGGGTCCCAGGTTCTAGTCTGGTCAAGGGCATGTACCTTGGTTGCGGGCACATCCCCAGTAGGGAGTGTACAGGAGGCAGCTGATCGATGTTTTTCTCTCATCGATGTTTCTAACTCTCTATCCCTTTCCCTTCCTCTCTGTAAAAAAAAGAAAGAAAGAAAGCAGCAGCAAAGGTGGGAACAATAGAAGGGCCAGTGAGGGTGGAGGCAGCTGCACCAGTCACAGGGCTGAGTGCTCTGGATGCGGGCTGGCCAGTGGGTAATGGACATATCAGTTCTAGTTCAATACCAATGTAAAGAATTTGCTTTCCGCCCAACTGTTGCCGCCATCAATGACACGAGTTGTGTGCAGCCTATCAAGCTAGCCTGGGTCACCAAGGTGCTGGGCAGGACCGGTTCCCAGGGACAGTGCATGCAGGTCCGCGTGGAGTTCATGGGCAACACGAGCCGCTCCATCATCCGCAACGTGAAAGGCCCTGTGCGCGAGGGCGACGTGCTCACTCTGCTGGAGTCGGAGCGAGAGGCTCGGAGGCTGCGCTGAACTGGTGCCTGGGTCCTGGCTGTCTGGGTGAACCACATAGCCCATGGGGAAGATGCTCCACTGTTAATAAAGCGTTTATGTAAATTCGGGGGAAAAAGAAAAAAAAAAAAGAACTTTGGACAGCCGCCTTTGCAGCATGTGCCTGAGAAACATTTTCAGCAGTGTCAAATTTGTTCCCATTGACCTGCCAATAGGATTTTTGAAATTTTAGCTCTTTACTTTCTGTAGCATTTGGGATTTGGAGAGTGAGGCATAATTAAAATCCACGGGTAATTTCTCTAATCTCCTTTTAGCCTATTAACAATGGTATTAATCCTTTATCAGCTCTGCTTAGCTGGAAAGACTGGAGCAGTGATGGCGAATCTATGACACGTGTCAAAGGTGACATGCGAACTCATTTTTTTTGGTTGATTTTTCTTTGTTAAATGGCATTTAAATATATAAAATAAATATCAAAAATATAAGTCTTTGTTTTACTATGGTTGCAAATATCAAAAAATTTCTATATGTGACACGGTACCAGAGTTAAGTTAGGGTTTTTCAAAATGCTGACATGCCAAGCTCAAAAGGTTTGCCATCACTGGACTGGAGTGTTCTTACCACTCTAATTTCTTTTTAATCTATGGCCTCCTGATAATAAATTATTACCATACTAGAGGCCTGGTACACGAAATTTGTGCACTGGTGGTAGTTGCAGGGGTCCTTCAGCCTGGCCGGACATCCCTCTCACAGTCCAGGGATCTCACAGTCCAGGACCCCTCGCTCCTTACTGCCTGTCTGCAGCGGAGGCAGGAGAGGCTCCCACCACCACCGCTGTGCTTGCCAGCCATGAGCCCTGCTTCTGGCTGAGCAGCACTCCCCCTGTGGGAACACACTGATCACCAGGGGACAGCTCCTGCATTGAGCATCTGCCCCCTGGTGGTTAGTGCGTGTCAGTGACTGGTTGTTCCATTGGTCATTCCGCCATTCAGTTGATTTGCATATTAGGGATTATTATATAGAATTGTAATTATTACTAAGGAAATATTTAGTGATGCTTACTCTGTTCCAGTCATTTTTTTTCTAAGTGCTTTACATGTAATAACCACTTTAGTCTTCATAGCAACACAACGAGGTTCCTCATCCCTAGTTGAAAAATTCGGAAACTGAAGCCCAGAATAACTTGCCCAAGATTGTATACCTACTAAGTGGTAGAACCAGAATACAAACTGCAAGCTAGGGATGGTGAAATGATATAAAGCCAGATGAGCATTGGGAAGAAATGGAGGGAAAAGTCTGGCTATTTCATAGTTCAGTATAGTTAATTTTTCTCTTTTTTTGGGGGGGGGGGATAGTTTGCTTTAACTAGAAAATTAGGATGAATTAGTTTCATGGGATGGGCTGTATGGCTCTTCTCTCTGTATGTCTTTGTGTGTATTAAAGGCCTTTGCTCTAAAACGCAACAGATTGTGTCTGATCATTGTTAGAGAAGTTTATTTGTTAAAAAAAACCATGAGCAGTTTCCTCAAGAGAGAAATTAAGGAATGTGTCTGATGTTCACTTTAGTGTTTGTTTTTAACAAAGCCCTAAAGAGTGACCTAATCCCATAGGAGGAAGTAGGTATAGTAAGTCTGGTGCTCTTTTTTTCCCCCCGAAATAGAAATCTTCCTTCCTTTGGTTATAAAAAATAGTACATGCTCATTGCAAAGACAGTAAAAAAAACAACAACACTAAAATTCTGTAATTCCAGTACTCAGAAATAGCTTTAACAATTTTTGGACACCATTCTTAATCTGTAAACATACACAGACTTTTTGTTTACACAAAATTAGTAATCTCCTTTTTATACTCAACACTATATCTTAGACATTTTCCCCTGTCAATATCCTTTTTAAAGGTTTCAAATATTTCAGTGTATGGATATACCAAAAATGTATTTAAACAGTTCATATTGCCCTTAAAAAATGAATGAACACGTGCCTCTGTAATCTTATAGTTTGAGTTGACGTTCATTCTTTTTAATATCACTCTTTCCTCTTTGAAATCCATTTGTTGTCTATAAAATGCAGAATGTAAACTAGTTTATCTCTAAGATATCTTCCAACTCCACATCCTATGATTTCTGATTCTGCTCAGTGAATTTTCAGAGTTGAGAGCTGCTCCTATACTGTTGTCAACCATCTTCTGCATATCCGGCCATCTCTGTTTCTTCCTCTCAAGAATGAGAATAACACCTATTTCATAGGGCTAATGTGAGAGTTAAATAATTATAAAGCTCTTTACCCCTCCCTTATTTAACTTTCCCATTTTGGCTGGACTGCAAATGGTTTAAGGGTATAGAGTGCATCCTATGATTTCTTGAATTCTTTATGTTGTCTTAAGTTGATACATCCTCCTGACACAAAAGTTGAAATATGATTCAATATATGTACAAGGCAGTAGGATGTATTACTGAAGCATCCTCTGTGTCGCCTCACCTGGACAAGAAAGTATGTAAGTAAATAGCATTCAGGAACCCCCAGTTTTACTCTTGTCTACTTTTTTTAGTCTCAGGTTCCTCAACTATAAACTGAATGGGTGAGACTGTCTTCAGTGTTCTTTCTTGTTCTGACTAGTTTATGATGTTATGACATGTAGACATTTTTAAAAATAAACATTGTGCTTTAAGTTAAAGCAATAATTAAATGCTTCAGTAATATGAGCAGTTCTATTTAAAAATCTCTTCACCTTACTAAGACTGGTCTTTTCCTATCTTTCATTGCCCTGGTTTTCTACAATGTTGTGATCAACGTGTGTGTTCAATTTTGAGTTTGTTTCTATTTTCACTGTTACCACATAATGTTCCAGGTGTATTAACGTAGAAAGTTTTGAATTCATATTGTTGATAAGTAAAGGAGCTAACCTTTTTTATTTTTTTCTCCTCGAAGTACTATACTTGAGTTGTTAGGGTAGCTTTTCTGTTTTTGAATCTGGATCTTGACTAATTTCCTAAAAACAATGATAGAATAGAATTTAAACTATTGGCTGGTTTCATGAAATGTTTAGCAGTTTATGTGTGGATATGTGTGTTTACTTACTCATGACTGCTTTAGTTCCCAAAATTAAGGCCTTAAGTGAAATATAACTGTGCATCCTCTCTGCCCAGGATAAATGTATAAGAAATAAAATTTTATCACACTAATAACTTTAAAAACCCTCTTAGATATAAATAGATAAACCACACTCAGATAAAGCACAGAAGAGAAAACTCATATTCACCCATGATGTGCCTCAGTTATTAAAAGTACACAAGAACTGTGTTACTATGAGAGAATTTTTGATATATCCCTGGCAGCAGGAACCCCCTGGAGGGGGAATTACTCGGGTTCCCAGTCGTGGGCAGTGTCTCCTGGGGCCTGGGTGGAGGCTGAGCAGGGTGGAGACCAGGGGACAGCTGGTACTGGTTTCTCTGGCGACCAAAACACTGGAACAAAGTCAGACTTGTCCTGAGCTCCACATTGCTTCCTGTCTTTAGTTGTGCTCTTGTGTCTAGTGACACATTGGATACATTTGCCTGTAGTATTTCTCAGTTGGTGTTGGAGGGCAGGCTGTGGACGTATGTTTGAAAATGTTTCATTGAGATCCTACTACATGATATACTTGCTTTTCTATTGCCTTTCAGAATTAAAGCCATAGAGAGTCCCAACAAAGAAGATGATACCCAGTGGCTGACCTACTGGGTAGTGTACGGTGTGTTCAGCATTGCCGAATTCTTCTCTGACCTCTTCCTGTCCTGGTTCCCCTTCTACTACATGCTAAAGGTATGTGGGCAGTTCCCGACACTGCTCTGTCTCCTTCCATATATGGACTTGATTTGCCCCCTACCCCTAAAGAAACTCCATCTCAGGACCTATAAACAAGAATAGGAACAAATAAATACTTGAATGTTAGACATCTGTGGCTCTGCCTCAGATCCTATGAATAGGAAGACAAGATTCAACACGTCTAATATTTTTTTGCATACTGTCTTGGAAACAGCCATAGCAATTGTGTGTTTAAGATGAAGGCGATAGTAAAACATGGAAATACTATGATCTATCACAAACACTGCTGCTCACCAAGATCCTATCTGCATGCAGTGTTGTCTACATTTAATTTGAAAGCATTGCAAATTTTCATAGGACATAGATTAGTCCCAGTGGTGAGCATATTCCAGGGAGGAGTCATTATTTGTGGAAGAAGAAATACTTTATTCTCATGTAGCTTTGGAGAAAGAAGATGGAAAATGGGCTCTCTGCGGAAATCATTTTAAGAACGTTGGAGAGAAAAGAAAGAAAAAAAAAAGAACGTTGGCGGGTACCCTAGTTGGGGTCAGCCCTGACAGCACCTGTGTTGGGCTGAGGATCCCCAGCATGTGGGGAAAGAAGTGGAAGTTGAAACTCGTTCCCATGGGACCTGTATCCACTCCAGATTTGCACCAGAGGTGAATGAGAAAGAAAGAGCTCATGCGTTTTAATAGCTAGAGTGGTTCTTTCTCCCTAAATGGGACAGGCTGTGTTCAGTTGATCCTCAAGTGTCTTCCATGGCGGAAGCCCTGCTTCCTGTCAGTTGGGTAGGATGTAAGTCGCCTGGTTCTCAGCCAGGCTTCCCACACAAGAGGGTGTGTGCCAGCCCCTTTGAAGTCTGGGCTCTCCTCTTTCCCTTCAGACCCCTAAGCACTTGTTTTAATAAAAGCTGCACACCACACAGTTTAAAGATTCAAATAGTTCTGTCAGAGAGTTGAAGAACAGCAGTTCTGCCTCCTCTGCCCCCCTGTATTGCTTCTTCAGAAGCAACCATGTCCCTTCATTTATGGCAGATTATCTTGCCATTTAACTCTGTCTCTAAATAATCTTTTTAAAAAATGTATATTTTTATTGATTTCAAAGAGGAAGGAAGAGGGAGAGAGGGAGAAACATCAGTAATTAGAGAGAATCATTGGTCGGCTGCCTTCTGCACATCCCCCACTGGAGATCGAGCCCGCAACCCGGGCATATGCCTCACTGGGAATCGAACCATTACTTTCTGGTTCATGGGTCGATGCTCAACTACTGAGTCACACTAGCCAGGCTAAATAATACTCTTGTTTAGCCCCCTTTTAACTTTTCTATTTTTCACATTAGCTCTTGAGTCACACTGGAAGGTAAGGATCTGGCTCCCTTTCCTCCCTTGTCCCCCACACATGCAGCCTCCCTTGTCCCCATCTTCCTCGGGCATCTGTATCATAATTTTGGGTAGGTAAACATTCACCCTCACTTTATTATGACTTTGTAAATACTATTTAGGGCCATCTAGTGTATAGAAGGGTTTAAAAATAAATGTAAAATTCCCTTTTCCCCTGATTATGAAAAGAGCATATGTTCATTTCTTTATTCAGCAGATATTTATTTAGAACCTCTATGTGCCAGAATCTGTTCTAGGTTTGGGGGAAACTTTGGTGAATAAAACAAAAGTATCTGCCGTCACACCGCTTACAGTCGTATGTGTTATAGTCGTATGTGTGTGTAGAGGGAGCATGTTTTAGATGAGGCACAAAAAAGCATTTGAAACCTACCACTGTTAACATCTTAGGGTAGTCTTCCTATTTATTTTAATGTGCAAATATATTCGTCTATGACATAAATATACACAGAACTGTGCATATTATTGTCATATGTATACGTATGTATACAAGTGTATATGTATACATATTGCTGAGGCATATATGATATACAGTTCTATATCTCACTTTTTTCAGTTAATACAATACTCTGAGTATTTTCTCATGTTATTCAATATTCTTTGTCATAGCTGACTATCCATTATAGACAATAATTTACCCAATCCCCAATGGAAAGACATTTAGATTTGCTTTGCCATTGTAACTAATGCTGCAATGAATGTCTGCACCTCATCTTTACTGTCATTAAAATCATTTTCCAGATTAATTTTTAAAACAAGGGTGAATAAACTGTGAAGTTTAAGTCTGATCCAGACTGTCACCTGAACTGTTTCACCCGTTGACAGAGAGCATAATGTTTGTCTTGTCAACTTTGTAGGAGGCAAAAAAGATGGAGAAATCTTCCCCTCCGCATGTTCTCTTTGAGCTTTTGTTTGTGCACTCTGAGCAGTTCGTTATAACCCAGCACATCACTATTCCTGTGGCCACCTTGCAAAGGCTTCCTGAGATATAGATTCCTGATGAAGTGATTGCAGTATATCAGGAGGCCAGTGTTGAAATATGTATTTTTCTGACAGTAGCTCTCAGTTTTGACCAGGCTAGTCCCAAACAGTGCATATTAAGCATATCCCTACCTTGGAATGAAAACTCTTCTAGGGAAAAATTGGATGGTGACATTAGAATCACAGACAGAATGATCTGTCCTATTGTAATTTATAATGAAGGGATTCTGTGTGTCGGTGCTAATAGTGCCAAGAGTCCTGTTAAGAAAGCACGGACCCTTTAAACCACAGGTAAGAGTGGGCTGGTGTTGGCACTTGGGAGTATCAGGAGCCTGCACTCAGGACAGCTTGACTAAAAGGATGGCCAGGCCGTGTAGCTCAGGATATCCTGGGCTGTGGCATAGTTATACAGATTAAGAGAAGGGAGTTATAAAAGCTGGTGGCTGAATATCACCTTGAGAATTGAACAGTAATTAACTTTATTTTTAATACAAGGAAGTTATTTTACTTGAGAGCTGGAAAATGCTAAGGATGTAGGTAGAGAGTAGTAATTATTTTTCTGTCTCAAGAGCATGCCGAAAAGAACTAAATTAACAGTCCGGAGTATAGCCCATAAAGTAATCACGTTGGAGAGGTGCAGACATATAGACACTTGGCTCTGGCCCTGTCTGGTAGTCTTGCCTTAATTCATCCAGAAAAGGGATGAAGCAGCTTTTCTGGACTGCTGAAGGGTTGATATCTACATCCTCCTTCCTCCTATTTAATAAACGACAAAAAGGGTAATTAACCGTACCTCTGCTATGCTTTCCATTGGCTAATCAGGGCGATATGCAAATTAACTGCCAACAAAGATGGCGGCCGACAGCCACGCAGCTGAAGCGAGCAGGCAGTTTGCTTGCTCCAGTGATGAAACCAAGGTTCCCTGCCTGCCGCGGCCCAGCTCTGAGCCTGAAAGCAACAATGTTTCAATTATAGAAGCTAAACAAACCCCAGATACCTGCTTTCAGCTGGCTGCGGCCTCAGAGCTGGGAGGGCCAGTGACGGCAACAATGTTTCAATTATAGAAGGTAAATAAATCCCAGAATAAAGAAAAAAAAGAAAAAAGGAGAGGCTGGGAGCTTCAGTCTTCCGCCAGCCTGAAAACGGCCCTCAGCCCCTCACCCAAACTAGCCAGGCACCCCAGTGGGGACCCCTCCGCTGAAGGGGGTGTGACCAGCTGCAAACAGCCATCAGCCCCTCACCCAGGCTAGCCAGGCACCCAAGCGGGACCCCCACCCTGATCCGGGACACCCTTCAGGGCAAACCAGCCAGTCCCCACCCATGCACCAGGACTCTATCCTATATAGTAAAAGGGTAATATGCAAACTGACCCTAACAGCAGAAAGACTGGGAATGACTGGTCACTATGACACACACTGACCACCAGGGGGCAGACGCTCAATGCAGGAGCTGCCCTCTGGTGATCAGTGCGCTCCCACATGGGGGAGCTCTGCTCAGCCACAAGCCAGGCTGATGGCTGCCAGTGCAGCGGTGGTGGTGGGAGCCTCTCCTGCCTCCTCAGCAGTTTTAAGGATGTCTGACTGCAGCTTAGGTCTGCTCCCCGCTGGCAAGTGGACATCCCCCGAGGTCTGCCGGGCTGCCAGAGGGATGTCTGATTGCAATCTTAGGCCCAATTCCACCCGGGAGCAGAGCTAAGCCAGCAGGTAAACTTCCCCCGAGGGGACCCAGATTGCAAGAGGGCACAGGCCAGGCTGAGGGACCCTTCCCCCCAGTGCACAAATTTTTGTGCACCGGGCCTCTAGTAGGTAAATAATATTTCAGAGATTTTCAACAACAGTATGAACTATAGGACTTGGTGATGCTACTACTATCCTATATACTTTCCTCAAGTACATTAATTTGGGACTTTCCTAAAATCCTGCAGAGAAAATTAACTCAGAGAGGTTGATTTTCCTAAAGTCATAAAGTAGATATCAACTCTCCTGCTTCTTAATCCAGTGAGGCATTTCCACTTCACATTGATCCCCAGGGTTATAATATGGGCACCGTATCTACATCAGTAACCCATTCCTGAAAATTAGATAGTCTATGTAGGAAGACCAGCCAGGAGACTATTTCTTGCAATTTTAAATGGTAAGAATTAAAATTTATTAATGTCAATGTAAACTCCATACCAATTTTCTAAATATTAACAAAACACAGCAAAGCACCTCTATACAAGTAACAAATATACTAGGATGTTAGATGCTAAAAACAACACTCTCCAAATACAGATGCTCCTCTACTTTTGATGGGGTCACGTCCCGATAAACCCATTTCAAGTGGGAAATACTGTAAGTTGAAATGCATATAATACACCTAACCTACTGAACATCATAGCTGAGCCTATGTTCTCCTGAATGAGTGTTGTGTTCTTGCACGACCATAAAGTAGAAAAATCATTAAGTCAAATCAGTAAATCAGGGACAGACCATCTGTAGTTAATCTAATTGGTAAGAAACTATTCCTTTTTGTGCAGTAGTACATGGATATCTGCATACTCTTCAAAATGCCTACATGGAATTCTGATGTTCTGTCGAGAATATAGCTTTTCCTCCACCCTCCACTTCATTTTGTTTAAATTGTTGCATTGAGTCTTGGATATGTATGCATTACCTATATAAGCAACCAATGGACAACACTGTACGAATGGATATTAAAAACGAAGGGTCTTCCACCGAGAAATGTTAATTAGAGAGATGGTCTGCAGGCTCTCTCTTGCCTGTAATTAACCAGGCTCTAAGCCAGTGGTTCTCAACCTTGGCTACACATTAGAATCACCTGGGAATCTTTTTAAAATCCTGATTTCTGGGCCTCATCCTCCAGAAATTCTGTTTCTTTGTTACTAATGTTGTGGCTCCACCCCATAACAAAGAAACAGAATTTCCGGAGGATGGGGCCCAGAAATCAGGATTTTATAAAGATTCCCAGGTGATTCTAATGTGCAGCCAAGGTTGAGAACCACTGCTCTAAGCAGAGGACAAGAAAGGGAAAGCCAGTGAAAGAGGCAGTCACTTAGTTCTCCATTTTGGCTTAATGCAATGTGTGGTTTAGAAAACATCTAATTCTCTAGGATAGCAACTAAGCCCAGGGGGTGCTAGTGCTGGGAAAACTAATAGTAAATATGAAACTGCCCACACCTACCAAGGTCCCGAGGGGTACTGCAAGAAATTGGCTTCAAGTGCTTGGACCTGTAGCAGAAGTCTTGCTCTGCCTTTGTGTGTCTGTGCGGTCTCACTGGAGTTTGGGATGGTTGTATATGCATGTGCAGTGAGGGTATGAGATGGCTAGGCTGAATCTTTGCTCCTCCCCTTCCTACTGCCATGCTTCCACCTCTTTTGCTTTCCCAGCTCTGAGCTCTATGTTTCCTGGTTCTGTGCTCAGTAAACTTAGTTTTGGATCATAACTTGGAGATTACGGCAGTAAATTGTGCTTTGGTTGAGTACTTTGATGTGGAAAGCAGACTGTATCGTCCCTATGGTCCAGAAATTCTCAACCTTTGGGGAATATATGGAGGAAATTTTTTTTGCAGCTGTTACAGTCATGGATTCTACTTATGAGTATTTTATGTTTTTTTCCTAGTATAATTTGGCTTAAATATTTACATATTGAAATATATATTGTTTTATTATACACTAGAGCAGTGGTTCTCAACCTGTGGGTCGCAACCGCTTTGGGGGTTGAATTGACCCTTTCACAGGGGTCGCTTAAGACAATCGGAAAACACATATATAATTACATATTGTTTTTGTGATTAATCACTATGCTTTAATTATGTTCAATTTGCAACAATGAAATTGGGGGTCACCACAACATGAGGAACTGTATTAAAGGGTCGTAGCATTAGGAAGGTTGAGAACCACTGCACTAGAGGCCTGGTGCATGAAAATTCCTGCACTCGGGGGGCGGTCCCTCAGCCCACCCTGCGCCCTCTCGCATCTGGGACCCCTTGGGGGATGTCCGACTGATGGACATCCTTAGTGCTGCCACAGAGGTGGGAGAGGCTCCTGCCACTGCCACTGCGCTGGCCAGCCATGAGTCTGCTTCTGACTGAGTGGCACCCCCCTTGTGGAAGCGCACTGACCACCAGGGGTCAGCTCCTGAATTGAGTGTCTGCCCCCTGGTGGTCAGTGCATGTCATAGCGACCAGTCGTTCCCAGTTGTTCTGCTGTTAGGGTCAATTTGCATATTACCCTTTTATTATATAGGATTAGTTTCACTGTATTTTTTCTTTTTTTTACATATATTTTATTGATTTTTACAGAGAGGAAGGGAGAGGGATAGAGAGTCAGAAACATCAATCAGCTGCCTCCTGCACATCCCCCACTGGGGATGTGCCCGCAACCGAGGCACATGCCCTTGACCGGAATCGAACCCGGGACCCTTGAGTCTGCAGGCCGACGCTTTATCCACTGAGCCAAACCGGTCAGGGCTGTATTTTTTCTTTATATTGCAGTTACAGTAGTTATATTACAGTAGTTTCTCCCACCTTATCTGCAGCTTCAGTTACCAGCAGTCAACTCTGGTCCAAAAATATTAAATGGAAAATTCTAGAACAGTGGTCGGCAAACTGTGGCTCGCGAGCCACATGCAGCTCTTTGGCCCCGTGGCATGGGCCACGAAGTTTCAATTGCACTGTACATGCGCGCCCGCCTGCAGTATTTTGTGGAAGAGCCACACTCAAGGGGCCAGTTTGCCGACCACTGTTCTAGAACAAACAATTTATAAGTTTTAAATTACACGCCATTCTGAGTAACGTGATGAAATCTCCCACCATCCTGCTGTGTCCTGCCTGAGATGTGAATCATCCCTTTGTGCAGCGGATTCACGCTGTATATGCTACCCGCCTGTTAGTCACTTAGCAGCTGGCTCAGTTATCAGGCCAACTGTCCCAGGAAGGCTTGTGTTCAAATAACCTTTATTTTACTTAATGGCCCCAAAGCCATTCACATCATTTTTATTACAGTCAATTGTTATAATTGTTTTATTTTATTACTAGTTGTTGTTAATCTCTTACTGTGCCCAATTCATAAACTAAACTTTATCAAAGGTATGTACGTATGTACAGGAAAAACATGGTGTATACAGGGTTTGGTACTATCCACAGTTTTAAGCATCCACTGGGGGTTTGGAACATATCCCCCTCAGATAAGGAAGGATTACTATACTAGCTTGATTTTGGGGGGTAATTATGTGTGTAATTACTTTGAATTTCATTTCAGGTAGAAAAGGAGAGTTACAACTTAATTGTTTAAGAAGGGTGTATGTTGGTTCTGGGGCTTGATCCTACCTCACTTAAAGCAAATTAAGTTAGCTGTTATTTTTTTTTATTTTTATTTTTTTAACGTGTATTTTTTTTTTAAATATATTTTATTGATTTTTCACAGAGAGGAAGGGAGAGAGATAGAAAGTTAGAAACATCGATGAGAGAGAAACATCGATCAGCTGCTTCCTGCACATCTCCCACTGGGAATGTGCCCGCAACCCTGGTACATGCCCTTGACCGGAATCGAACCTGGGACCTTTCAGTCCGCAGTGGGAGATGTGCAGGAGGCAGCTGATCGATGTTTCTCTTTCATCAATGTTTCTAACTCTCTATCTCTCTCCCTTCCTCTCTGTAAAAAATCAATAAAATATATTTAAAAAAAAAACAAAAAACTCCGCCTCCTAGGTGGCTCCTTGCAGTTCACCCAGATTTGGTTCTGATTGGTCGGTTTCCATGCCAGTCAGCGTCTCCGGGTCTATATCCGGGCCTGATCAGGGAGGCAGGGTTGATAAGCAGCCCCTTGGAGGCCCCAAGAGAAACAGAGGCGTGGCTGCTGGCAAGGGCCGGAGAGAAAGAGAGAGGCAACAGCTGATCAACAGCTGCTATGGAGGCTGCGGATCAGACCCTGCCTCTCTCTGCCGTGGCAACCCAGCACTGACTTCCGGACTGACTTCCGGTGTTTGGTTGAGCCCTCAGTCCGTCGTTACGGACTCTGGGTTTTTATATATTAGGATATTCTTTGGTTTGGAATAACAAGGTCTAAGGCTAAAGAGCTAAGTTTGTGGCCTGAGAAGCTGAGGGGTAAGTACATTAAGGAGAAGTTGTAAAAAATACTAATCTGCAATCTCAGGAAATGAGTTCTGTTTTTTATAGTCACCTATGCTGGGTGTTAGACTCTTAAATGAAAAGAGCCCAGTATGTATGCAGTTCATTAAACTTTCTAAGGGAATGAGCATATCACTGTGGATATTTCCATTTTTGCTTATTATCTTACAAAGGAATAAACTGCTTGATCAACTTACTTAAAGTACTGAGTTGTTATTTATCATTTGAATAAACAGTAAAATTATTTTTGATATAAATTTAGTTGGACAGTTGTTTTTTAAGTTTTTAGGGCAGAAATATTGTCAATTTCTTTTTTTTTATCTTAATGGCAAAGTGAACCATAAAGAGTTAGGAATAATATCTACATTCAGAATAAAAGAAGAGATACACTTGACTGTAAAGATTGCTTGAAGGCTAAAATCTACTAAAAACTGAGATTCCACTCTGGGAAGTTTTCAACAATGGCAAGGGTATTTTTCCTCCAACAGGATTAATAAATGTGACAAATTTACCAACATAAGCCTACAGGGCTTTTCCAAATGTGTTTTTTAAATTGATTTTGAAGAATTATAATGAATAAAAGCTTTTGTAACTAAAAAATGGTTCACGTTAGGAAGGAAGTGAAGCTGTTGGACTTGATGTGTTTGACCTTTCTTTTTCAGTCTCAGCTTTTCCTCACTAGCCCATTATCTGTCACATGTTTCCATCTCAGAAAAGCCCACTTGTAGCTTGCAGAAAACTCTGGAAATGCTATTGGAGAAAATAGCAGAGGCCCGGCGTAGCAGAGGGCAGTGTGTTGTCAGGTGCCCACTCCCCTCCTGTTACCATGCTGATTCTCATTCTGTGCAGTGCGGCTTCCTGTTGTGGTGCATGGCCCCGAGCCCTTCCAACGGGGCGGAACTGCTCTACAAGCGCATCATCCGTCCTATCTTCCTAAAGCACGAGTCCCAGGTAGACAATGTGGTGAACGACTTGAAGGACAAAGCCAAAGAGACTGCAGATGCCATCGCTAAAGAAGGTAAGACTCGGGGACAGTGTGGTACAGCATGTGAGAGGGGAGGTGATATACTGGGCTCAAGCAATAACCTTCATGGCCTTCTTGTCCTGTTAGCTTACCCAGCCAAATAGCAAGACAATGACCTAGAGCAGTGGTTCTCAATCTTGGCTGCACATTAGAATCACCTGGGAATCTTTAAAATCCTGATTTCTGGGCCTCATCCTCCGGAAATTCTGTTTCTTTGTTATGGGGTGGGGCCACAACATAAGTAACAAAGAAACAGAATTTCCGGAGGATGAGACCCAGAAATCAGGATTTTAAGAAGATTCCCAGGTGATTCTAATGTGCAGCCAAGGTTGAGAACCACTGGCCTAGAGGGATTTCTCTACCAAGACTTTGCCTGTTGTCCTTTACTTCTCACAAGATTCTTCCTCCACGCCATGGTTAATACACCATTTAGTCAGCGTATCAGAACAAATGACTTTCTGTGGTGGGCACAGATTTCAGAGAATCATATGTATTTATATTCAAGTACATCTCTTTAATTCATTTTAGGTGGAACTGCTTAATATGCTGTTCAGATTGCTTTTGCTACAGGTCCCAGAGAATGCCCTCTTTCAGCTCTCTGATTCATTCATTCAATAGATACTTACTGAGGTGTTTAATATATGCCAAGCATGTTCATAGCCCTGGGGATGAACTAGTGAACCATATCATACTCCTTGAACTCGTGAAGATTTATAATCTTATTGAGAGAGAGAATTAAATTAAAAACTAAATTATATGATATAGTTAATAGGTGATAAATGTAGTAGATAAAAAGACGGGGGGTGCTAGGGGCTGAAGGAAAGGTTGCAGTTTTAAAGAGAGTGACTTAGGAAATCTTCACCAATAAGGCTGTACTGAATCAGACATGGAAGTGGTAAAGGAAGGAACCATGGAGAAGAATGCTCGGGACAGCACATGCAAAAGCCTGGTGGTGTGAACAGGTAGTTGGAAGAGAATGACCTAGAAGGAGAGTAGGAGACAGTTCAGAGAGGTTAAAGAGTGAGGATGGCAGAGGACAGGTCACGTAATGCTTGGTAGGCTGTTGTACAGGCTTTGGCTTTTCCTCTGGGTGAGATGGGGTGCGGTTGGAGGATTTTGAACATAAGAGCAACACGATCCATCCTGTGCTTGAACAGGGTCATTTTGGCCACTGTGTTAAGATTAGACTGAAGGGAGACAGGGAAGAGATCAGGAGACCAGTTAAAAGGTCATTGTGGTAATCTGGCTGGAGATGATGCTGGTGGCTTGGTTCATAATGGTAGCAGTAGGAAATAAGTCCTTGGATTCATGATAGATTTTGAATGTAGAACCAATAGGACTTGCTTACGGAGTATGAGAGAGGAGGCAAGGATGAGGCCAAGCTTTTTAGTCCGAACACATGGTGGAAAGATATAATTGCCATTGAGCTGGGGAAGACTGGGTGTGATAAGTTGAGGGGGAAATAAGGAATTCAGTTCTGGACATGACTTTGAGACATCTGTTAGGTACCTACATGGAGTAGTCAAATAGCAAGTTGGATATAGACATCAAGAGTTCAGGAGACATGTCTGGGCTGAGGATATGAATTTGGGGGTCACCAGCACATAGACAACGTAGTAAGCATGAGACTGAATGAGGTCACTAAGCGGGTGAATGTGATTAGAAAAAGAGGCCCAAGGACTGAGCTCTGAGGCCCCCAATGTTTAGAGATTGAGAAGATGAGAAGCAACCAGCCAGGCAGACTGATAAGGAGTGGCCAGTTGAGGTAGCAAGAAAACCACGAGACATATCATTGGGGCCAAGTGAAGAAACTGTTTCAAAGCGGAGGAAGAGATCCATAGTGTCACATGCTGCAGACAGGTCAAGTCAGATAAGGACTGAAAACCGAGCATGGGATTTAGCAATGAGGAAGGCACTGTGATCTTGACAAAAGAGATTTATGTAGTGGTGGGAGCAATATCCAGATTGGAATGGATTTGAGAGAAATGGGAGGAAAAGCATGAGAGAATGTAGACAGCTGTTTTTAGAAATTGCCTGCAAAGGAACAGAAGAATTGGGACATAACTGGAAAAAGGAACTGTCCTGAGGATTTCCCCCCGCCCTTTTCCTTAAAGGTAAAAGAAACAAAGTATGTTTGAAAATTAATGGGCATGATCCTGTAAAGAGCAAGAGGATGACACAGTGAGAGGTGGTCTGTCCTTGACTAGACCAGAGGGCATAGGATCTAGTGTACAAACAGAGGGCTTGGTCGTAGGAGCAGGGACAGTTGATAATAACAGGAGGGAAATCAGGGTTTATGGGTGAAATGCTGGTAGGTGAGGTGGGAGCTTATGGAAGTAATTTTTTGATGGCTTCAAATTTTTCAGTAAAATAGGAAGGAAAGGTCAAGTGAAAGGGGATAGAGAAGGAAGGAATGGAAAGAGAAGTATGAAATAGTTGTCTAGGGCTAGGGCCAGCAAACTTTTCGTATGAAAGGCCAGATATTTTCATTTTTACTGGCCATCAGGTGTGTGTTGCTGGTACTCACCTCTCCCATTGTGTACTGTGAAAGCAGCTGGCGATGGCACGTTAACCGTGAGTGTGGCTCTAATTTGCAGGCTGCTCTGAGACAGTGGGAGGAGTGGAGTGCCCAGAACAGCATCACATGATTGCCAGGCAATTTTAAAGGCTCACTTGAGATTTGTGTCCATGGATTTAAAGTGAGACTGGTGTGACTGTGTTTTTCTCCAGCCACATTCAGAATAGGTGGAGAGCTGTGTCCAGGTTAATTTTGTTAAGAACTATGAAGTGAGAGTGGGACTAAGGAGTGGCTAGTATTTGATGGAATTTAAGTTGGGTGAGCAGCGAAGTGAGGAACAGAGGCAAAGACCAATGAATGAGAAAACCAGGTGGTGGAGGAAGAACTGACTCAGCAGAGTAGAAGGAGTGAGCTACAATGGTAGGAGGAGATAGTGCCATGGTGTGCTTGACACTGAGATTATAGAAGGACTGAATTTATTGGTAGTGACAAAGATATTGAGTGAGTGCCTGCGGTAGGCAGAGTAGGTAAGTAGGTAGGAGGTAAAGGTTATTGGAGGGGAGGAACTAAGAGGTAAGGATAGTGGAAGGATCATGTATATCTATAAGGATATTGAAATCACTAATAATTCAAATAGTAATGGTATTAGAGAATGATAACTGAAGCAAAATTCTTAAATAAGGCAGCATAGCCCAAGGGTCAGAGGTGACTGGAAAAAGAAATGCTAGTGGAAGATAAAATCTGATGGCATGAGCTTCTGAATGTGGCCATGAAGAACCAAGGTCACACTTTGGTACTAGGGTCATGGTAGAAAAAAACAAAAACAGCCACCATATGAGAAAGTGGCATCCTCAGAGGACAACCTATTTCTGTAAAAGCAAGGAGGTCAGGGAAATGTTTGGAGAAATGGATGAGAACAGAGGAGATTTGCTGTTGATGAGTCTTAAGTTCCTGAGGGCACATTAAGGGTTTTCAGAAATTGGAGAAAAGTGGGCCATGGACATGGAAGTAGGGAATGTTGTTGTTCGAGCTCTATGATAATTAGAAAGTGGGAGATGAGGGCCACCTGACCACGGGAGGGAGATCCCACCCAGACAGCTCTTCAGCAGCACTGACGCCCCAGCACTGTGTCCTCATTCCTCCCTCACCGAGCTCTCTGAACCCCTGTGTCTGTACTAGAGCGCCAGTCTACTTGAATACGTTTTCCTACAACCTTAAGTGTAACGTGTAACTTTCACATGCTCCCACTTTGGAATCACCAGTTGCTTTTTAGGAACCTTCTTTCCTGTTCCTCCTCATCCTCAGTCTAGCCATCAGCCTCTGGTGATGTCATTTCTGTCTAGTTAGCCCACATTTCTTAGCCTCTTGGTTCTGTTAGAGAGCAGTACTCTAAAATCCAATTTTAGTCCAATTTTACTGTGGTATGATACATTCCTAAACAGGGGAGTGAGAATGAAAATGAGGAGGAACTTACATGCTGTTACATATTAGACTTTTCTCAAAGCTTCTGGAGAACCCAGAAGTAAATTTTTGCAAACAATTTGTTAACTTTGTTCAGCAGTTTTAACTGAATGGAGAGCAGCTGCCAGGTGGTGAACAAGGAGGGACTTGGCTCTGATCACTGAACTCAGGCTCCATCAACAACAGCTGCAGCTGTGGAATCTCAGGAGGCCCTGGAGGCTTCCAGAAATGCCCCCCTCCTCCATCTCACACACCACACTAATTCTCACAGCACATTCCAAGTTACTGGTAGTTAGGAAGGCTTAGTCTCCCGCAGATGGACAACTGTATATATACTAGAGGCCCGATGCACGAAATTCATGCAAGGGGCTCAGCCCTCACAGCCCGGCTTCGTCTGGAAGGTCATCTGGAAGGTCATTTGGCTGTTTGGTCTCATTAGTATATTATACTTTTATTTTTGTAGATATTAATCCTCACCAGAGGATATGTTTTTATTGATTTTAGAGAGCGGGAGAAGGGGAGAGAGAAACATCAATGTGAGAAACATCGATCACTTGTCTCCTGTATGCACCCTGATCAGGGGATCAAGCCTATGACCTTTTGGTGTACAGGATGATACTCCAACCAATTGAGCCACTCTGGCCAGGGCACGATTATTTTCTTAATGAATGTACTTTCTTGCCTCCAACTCAGAAGACTTGTAGCACGCTCTTCCCATCCTAGGAAGAAATGGTGGCACTGTGAGAGAATATAAATGTGTGTAAATAGGCCATCATGTCTGGGTTCTGGGAATGACGACTTTCTCTGGCTTCTGTCACTACAGAATAGGTGGATGACCTATGTGTCATCTCATTGAGACATAGTGACATTGTACAGGTGAGCACCCCTACACAAACGAGAATTTCTTGATTGTACAGAGGAACACCATACGCCCAGGGAATCTCTGCAGCTTGTAATGCTTACAGGACAATGGGCTTAGGTGACACTTCACTACCAGGGGGCCAGGCTAGATGCTCTTCAAGTACTTTGCTCAAGTGCTCAGAATTTGTGCCGTGAAGTAGTTTCTTGTCCATTTCCTGGAAACTTATTTTAGCCCTGGCCACAAACCTCAGTGTGTTCTCATCTGAACATGAGTCATCCCAGTTGTTACCCAGTAGCTATGTTACGCACAGAGCCTGCATTGCAAAGAGCTTTGACACAATGTCCTTTCCTCCTGACAGCCAAGAAAGCTGCCGTGAACTTACTGGGTGATGAAAAGAAGAGCACCTAAACCACCCACAGGATGAAACCCTCCTGCCCTCCGCACCTTCCTATTGGAGCTTGATGTTGTGTTGGGGACTGTGGTATAATCATTTTAATGTTGCCTTGGAAACATTTTTGATATGTTAAAAAATGGAATGTGTGTAAGTATTTTTTTGCTTTTACTGTCTAAATACATAGGGAGCATTTTAATGTAAATGTAATGCAATGGGCAGTATCCAACTTTGGAAACTATATTTTGCCTCTGGATAGGGAATGTGTTACCATCCTGCAGGGAATATAAACTTAAAATTATATATCCCACGGGCTTTGTACTTCAATGGGCTCTCTCTGCATGCATTTTCTCTGTACTCTTTAAGGTTCTACTTCATGTAATGTACAATTTTGTATTAAATGTTTTGAATGTAGTTGTGCATATGTATATGTAGGGAAATGTGCTGACTGTAACATGCGTGATGCTCATGAGCACCTGCCAAAAGCTGGAGGTTCTGTTGTGCTGGTGTGATCTGCTGAAGGGATTTAAGCGATAAATGAGGTTGAATGGAGGTTGGCCTGTTGTTTTCCTAATGCAGCAGCAGAATACTGGAACAGCTTTGTAAAGCAGCCACTGTGCTGCTCAATGGGGAAATAAATGTACACACATCAGTGATCTGCAGCTCCCACTTCCCTATAGAACCAGTAATACTGTCTTGTGGCCTGTTGATAATCTGCTGATAAGCTTTAGATTTGTTTGTTTTTGAGATGCTAAAATGGAAATCATCCCTGGTTTCACCTTCATTGCTGACATGTTGGTATAGTCTTGAGTCTTTTTTTTTTTTTTTAACCATTTGAAGGACCCCCCGGAGACTTGCCTGCCTCTGATTACATATATGTTCTTGTTTATATCATTAGCTAGCAGTACATGCTAATGATGACACAGGCTCTAAGAGCAGTTCTGGGAAACAGAAAGGAAGTTTGGTATAACCTGTAGTCTAGTTGGCAGTGGTTAAGTCTAACTGCCTTCACCTTCTCGGGCCTTTAAAGTCAAACACATGAGGCCTCCCTAGTCTGCAAGTCAGGGTCATTTGTAATATGTTTAAATGCCTTCATCTTTATGCTTTGTTTTAACACACTGCATATAACTACATAGTTTAAGTATAGAACAAAAAGTTGAAATCAGTGTCTCCATAGTTTGATCAGCAAGTAGCTTACAGAGACTATGGCAGCTTGTCTGGGCTAGAGAAACTGAGCTCTGCACCAGCCATACTGCAAGGAACTTCTGGATCAGACTAAACTGACTGAAGAGTATAACCAAACTACCAGGGTGAAATATCCAGCCTGTAAGGCAAATGTTTTTTAAGGCAAATAAAGATAGTTCTCATTTCAATAACAATTAGATAAGGTCATAATGATGTCTCATGATGTAAAAAATATTAAAGATATCAAAAATAAGAGACAGTATCACCCAAACATTATGGATTAGGGCATTTTTTTCTGGGGAAAATTAAATCATAAGGCATCTTGTTACATTTACCTTAAAAAACTTAGAAAGCAAACAACTATTATTTGGAGAAAGTCAAGCCTTAGATTTAATATTTAAATCTCTTTACCTATAAAAAAAAAGTATGTCTTTCTTGGTGCAAAAGAATGAAAATTAGCAACCTCTAGCTTACAGAACATACAGATTATGAGTATATATATTTTCAGGCAAGATGGGAGGCATAAAAGTTACTATTGCTTAAGCTACTTATAGGCTAATGTCAGTTTAAAAAATATAATAAGAAAAAACATTCTGAATGCAGATTTTTGTCTTGATAACTTTCTCCCACAGTGTATTATGGAAGAAATTTGTTACTGTTTTTCGTAGTGAAAGACAGGAGGAGTTTTGAGTTGAACAATTCTGTTTCAGCTTTGATTTCCCAAGTAATGTACTGCCATGCTAGAGTATTTGAAAAACTAATTGAGCCTGTGTCTAGCTAGAAGACAAGCATTTATTTGTACATGAGTGGTATTTGGGGGAATTATAAAGTTATAGAATCCCTACAGCAATTCTTTCTCTACTTGAAAGGTTTCAGATCAACAATTACTGCTACTCTGGAGAGTCTCTGCCCACAGCCTGAAGAAAATGAGCATAGCCTTTCACTACGTTACTGCCTGTCCTGAAGATGTGATCTATTGAATGGATATGGATGTAAATAAAATTCCATTGTCTCACTGAACTGTTACATTTCATTTTGTAGGGCCTTAAAAAAAATCTAGACTAATTTATGCAAAACCTGAATACTGATAAATGAACCCTAAACACTGCTGTTTATTAATCCTATTCCTTACCTGCCTGTGCTTTTCCCCTGGTGATTACTACTCATCAGTTAGACTTTCCCTAAAGAAAACATACCAACCAAAAAAGGTTTCTATCAATAATTCGTACTAGATTTAAAAGAAATCTAAACCACTTTCTACTCACCTATTGCATTACACACATCTCATGCCATGTTGGTGTATTGTACATACTTTGATGAAGTAAACATTGCTATGTGCCTCCAAATTATTCTGTACTTTGCTACTTAGAACTTGAGGATTTAAAAAAAAAATACCTACTGCTGGAGGGTGTGTTAGCTTTGTCTCCTACATCTGCCTTTACGTGTCTGTGTCTGCAAACAATCTGTGTTTAGAATAATATACGATTCAGATCCTTAGCCATCAAATATTATAGTTCTATACAGTATGGCAGGAAAGTAAATATATTTGAGAATGACCTTAACTAAAAGTTTTCCTGGCTGCTTACCACAATATTCTTATAACATCTCTATATAACACACATTTCAGAAATTAGGAGTGATAAGGAGGTTCTTTGGTTAGAGTCCAGGGGTGGGCAAACTTTTTGACTCGAGGGCCACAATGGGTTCTTAAACTGGACCGGAGGGCCAGAACAAAAGCATGGATGGAGTGTTTGTGTGAACTAATATAAATTCAAAGTAAACATTATTACATAAAAGGGTACGGTCTTTTTTTTTTTTTTAGTTTTATTCATTTCAAACGGGCCGGATCCGGCTCGTGGGCCGTAGTTTGCCCACGGCTGGGTTAGACAGTGGTTCTCAAGACTTCAGTGTGCACCAGAATTGGGGGGCCGGTTGTTAAAACACAGGTAGCTGGCCCCACCCCCAACATGTCTAACTCAGTACGTCTGGGGCAGGGCTGAAGAGTTTAAATTTTCAACAAGTTCCCAGGTGGTGATGGTCCAGGAACCACATTTTAAGATAAAACTACACTGTTAGGTAAATGTTATCTTTACAGTTAGCTTTACAGAGGTTTTCAGATCTGGCTGCACATTACAATCAAGGAGTTTTCTAAAAATATTGGTATGGGATGCCATTATCAGAAACTGACAGTCCCAGGTGCCAGTATGCTTCCAAAAGTTTTCAGGTGATTCTAATATGTAGCCAGCGAAAGCAAAGCAGGGGTGGAGGGGAGTGGACCTCTGGGATTGGATAAAAAGTAAAATGATATAGAAAGGTACAGGATAGTTAACAGTCAACGATTAACATGATGATAATGAGAGAATTTGTGGTTTCTGTCCAGGTGCCCTGGTGCATTGGTTGTGCCCTGAGGCGTCTGGAGAAAGGGAAGTTACAGGTTACCCTGCCATTCCAATGTTACATTATTATAGACAACAAACAGGCTTAGTTGAGGTAAAGATTGACTTTTGCCAGGGAAGAATCTAGCCTAGGACATGACTACCTGCCATAAACTGCTTTTAGTTAAAAAGTTTTAACTTCAGACCATCCTTATGGTAACTAGGTCTCAGGATTTTACAGGGCCGCCACACAAGTCTTCCCTGAGCCAGCATGTGGTCCCTTTTGTCTACACTGCTGAAACATATTACCACACATATATTGGCTTAAAACAACTCGAATGCATTAGCTTACTGTTCTGGAAGTCAGACATCCAAAATGGCTTCGCAGGACTGCATTCCTTCTGGGCACTGGAAAATCCCTTTACTTGCTTTTTTCAGCTTCAAGACTGCCTGCGTTTCTCCGCTGAGTGCTTGTGATTACATTGGGCCCACCTGGACAGCCCAGGCTACAGGCTTACCTTGTTTTATTGCGCTTCACAGGTCTGTTTTTTACAAAATGAAGGCAAGACCCTCCACCAGCAAAAAGATTACAACTCGCTTTATTGTGATACTTGCTTTATTATGAAGGTCTGGAACTGAACCCACAATATCTCTGAAATATGCCTGTACTCTCTCCAGCTCCTTAATTACATCTGCAAAGTCTCCTTTGCTATGTGAAGTAACATAATCACAGGCTTTTGGGGGGAGGGGCATTATGCTGCCTACCCTACCTAGTCTCTCTCTGGATACAGAAATTTCATTATGAAGTCACACCCAATATAAAAATAAATGTAAAGAGAAATCTTAATGTTGGGAGGGAACTAAAATAAGGAGGGTTAGTGAAAAACTATCCTATCCCTATTCAAGTAAAAGACTAGAGGTGTATCTTCTCCACACAGTAAGAGGATCTTTGGAACACAGGCAGAGCTGAGGGACAGAAGTTGAGTTAAAAACAGGATGGGCGACTAAAAGCTGAGACCCATTTCCCCACCCCACCTCCTCCCATTAGGCTCCCAGGAAGGATCTCAGTAGACTCCTCTCCGGGGAAGCGGATCAGCTTAAGAGAAAAACACCTCGGCCAGATACCCCTTTAGTGAACTCGATACACCAGCTCTTGTGTGCTCAACTTCCAATCAGCTTTTTTATCTTTCACTCTGAAAAAAAACCCCACCAATCTAAAGCAAGCCACTTAACACGACAGGGATCAAAATAAAAACAGAAGAAAAAAATGAGAAAAGAATGTAAATCATACTCTGAGAAATAAGAAATTATATCCATAAAAAACAATGCTAAAAAAAAAGGAAACATTCAGATGACAAGAGCCTAGACAAGTTAAAAACACAAGAAAAGTGAAAAAAAATTCAATAGAAAGGTTGAAAGATAAAGCTGAGGAATTCTAGGAAACAGAACATAAAGGCAAAGAAATGAAAATGAGAAAAAGAAAATGAGGACTAGTCCATCATGTCCAATATTCAAATCAGAGGAGTCCAACAAAGATCAGAAAGGGAAGGAAAATCATCAATGAAATTTTCAAGAAAATTTCCCAGAACTTGAGAACACAAGGTTCCCGATTGAAAGGGCCCATTTAGTACCCAGCTCAATGGGCAAAAAAACCCACCCCAAAGGAAGCACACTATTTCCGAACAGCGAGATGTTTCAGGTTTCAACAGGCTAATGTGGTTACAAGAGACCATGAACTAGAATGGTTTAGATTTCCCTTCAACTATAACAGAAGTCAGGTCATGAAATAATGCCCTTGAACTTGTGAAATAAGATGATTTCCAAGGCTAATTCTATACCCAGCCCAACAGTGGGAGGGTAGAATGACACTTTCAGACATGCATTTTCCCCAGGAAGATCTAAGGTGAGTTAGACAATACAAGCAACCTAAGAAAGAAGAATACACAGGATGCACTAATACAGGAAATCCCAAACAGCAAAGCAACAGAGTCACACTCCAGTGATGGTGAAGGGAACCCAGAGTGAAGCTGTGCACTAGGCCTCGGGTGACCAGTAGAGCCAGGTAAAAGGCTCCAGAAGAGATTTCTTTACAAAGATGAAATTAAGCCCAAGCCAATTTGGTTCAGTGGATAGAGTGTCCGCCTGTGGACTGAAGGGTCCCGGGTTCAATTCTGGTCAAGGGCACATGCCCAAGTTGTGGGCTCAATCCCCAGTAGGGGGCGTGCAGGAGGCGGACAATCAATGATTCTCTCTCATCATTGATGTTTCAATCTCGCTCCGCCTCTCCCTTCCTCTCTCTGAAATCAAAAATATATTTTAAAAATAAATGATAAAAAAAATGAAAATAAGAAACTACCTGATTTGAACAAACTTTCTGAAATGAATAAACTAGCTGTTTTGAACAAACTTTTTGAAAGGACATTTTGACACTGATAATTTGTGGTTGTGATATTCAGAAAATCAAGTAAATATACAATAAAAATAATAGCTCCAAGAAAAACATAAGCCCAGAAAACAAAAATACCCATCGCATACGTGTTTCTTAAACTTAATGTGTGCTAGGTATATAAACATATAGTAGCTTAGTGTATGTGTGTGTGGGGATAGTGATAAAAGATAGGCACTAGCTTTCTATATCTAAATTTCCATATTTTTATATAGTAAATTAAGAGATGTCACTTTTAAAAAACCAAAATCTTAAATGTGCACAAGAACTACTTGGGGATCTTATTAAAATGTATTTGAATTCCAGGCTGGAGCCAGAGTCCACATTTTCAAAAGCTCCCAGGGGGGGCCAGTGTTGCTGATACACGGCTCAGCTACAAATGGAATATATGATAATAATGTAAGCCATGAATAGTGACTAAAATTATGAAATATATTGGTAATTGATAGGAGGGAAGATAGGAAGCAGACATGCATGTGGTGGGGGTAAAGGAAGAAAAATCTAAATCCTCCTAAGATGGAAGTTAATATCTAAAATTGAAACTATTAAAACTAGCTGGCTCTTTAAATTATGTACAGGTATAATATTGATAACAATAAAGTCTTTAAAAGTAGGCAAAGGATGTGAACATAATTCATTGAAATAAATATTTGGTATTTCAACATATGAATAAATGCACAATCTTGCTCATTAGAGAAGATTCCATTTTTCACTTGATTGGCAAAGAAAAGTTCAATTATGCATTCATTGCAATAAGAAAGAGCAATACAATGTTACAGCAATAGTTCTGAGACCTTTTTTTTTTTTTTTTTTAAATATATTTTATTGACTCTTCACAGAGAGGAAAGAAGAGGGATAGAGAGCTAGAAACATCGATGAGAGAGAAGCATCGATCAGCTGCCTCCTGCACACCCCCCACTGGGGATGTGCCCGCAACCAATGCACATGCCCTTGACCAGAATCGAACCCGGGACTCTTCAGTCCCCAGGCCGACACTCCATCCAGTGAGCCAAACCAGCCAGGGCTTCTGAGACCTTTCTGACAATACTTCTTGCCAAAACAATTTTAAACTCATCTTTTTAAAAAATATATTTTGGCCCTAACTGATTTGGCTCAGTGGATAGAGCGTCAGCCTGCAGACTCAAAGGTCCCAGGTTCGAATCCGGTCAAGGGCATGTACCTTGGTTGCGGGCACATCC